ATTTTCAAGCATATCAAATTGATATGAATCAGACGAGATGGTCTACGTTGACCTATCACGACATCAAATTTTGTTCTTTATCATACGTAGCAACTTCTGGGAATGGCAATAAATATGTTCCAAAACAGTGGGTTTAAATTGTTGCACATATGCTCTTTAATGTACTAAAATAATTTAAATATGAATATCTCTTTGAATTATTGATTATAAAATAATCATGGGAGAAATTAGGATTAAGTTAAAATAATACTTTGTAATTCAATACTTTTGCAGTTGTTGTGAAACAGCGTACTTAATAAAGAAATTGTTTTTCAATTTTTATAGTACAGATTTATTTAATGTTATAAACATTAATTAAAAACATTCCACCCCTCGAAAACAAATATTTTCAAACAAATTCTACTTTTATTAAAAATATTGTACGTTATAACTATAATCTACTCATGTTTCATTCCTTAAAGGTATTTACTTCCTTAGATAATATTCATTATGTTACAGGATATTTTACGTAACATAGGAAGCTCTACTATGTAACATAGTAACATTTACTATGTTCACATAGTAACATTTACTATGTTAACATAGTAAAGTTTACTATGTAATATAGTAGAGCTTACTATGTAAAATAGTAAATGTTACTGTGTAACATAGTAATTATTACTACGGCCATAGTAACTTTTACCATTGAGGAACTTACCATGCCCCATAGTAACCATTACGATGTTGCATGGTAGCCATTACCATGTCCATGGTAGCTATTACCATGTCCATGGTAGTGCTTACTATGTCCGGATTCTGACATCGTAATATTTACTATTTTATTTTCTCCGTGTAGTACCCAACTTAATCATTATTATTTTGGAATGGAATATGGAACATCTAAAAATCGGTTAGTGGAATTGAAAGTATGTTGGACCATCAATCCAACTTTCCTATTGGTCAGTCGAATCGTATTTTTTACTGCAATCCAAGCGGTCATCTCTTAGGTTATATTCTTTCATTTCATCGGGAGTAACTGTAATCCCTGGCTATTTTTCGATGGCAATCGGCGGCAACCCCCCTTTCTGAAGAACCCCCCATCACCTACGACCGCGGATATCAATACCTAACGACCCTACCCCTAGTACTGACGAGAGAAGGAACCCCCCCACTCCTCGAGTTACTTCGCAACAACCTTCAGCAATTGTTATGATTTCGAGCCCAGTCAGAGCTCCCACAGGAATATTCCCGGACTTCCCCGGGACCGCACTCACGAGAAACCCCTCCAGTAATTCCTCAGCCCCCTCCCCAGCAATGCCACAATGAATCATCCCCAGATCGACCCTCAATTGTTCCATACGGTCCATACGGTACGGCATGAATATGGATTCATGCAGCCAGTCCTAATTCCCCGTCAACCAGCTCCCTCGTTCCGACTGAGAACCGACTCCCTGATAACCCAGATATTAACCCCTATTCCTCCCAGATGACCACCAGAGCCATTATTCTTAGGGACAGTTCATTTGCAGACCCTTCAGGTCGAGCATTAAAAGTCAGTCACATTTTCACGCGAGAGGGAATTACATTCTCAGGGGCCAAATATGAGGACCCCGACAATTTTCTTGATGAAGTAGAGGACTGTTGCGTAGCCAATAACTTCACTGACGAAGAGACCCTTCGAGCCATTTTCTCGGCATTTAAGGGTAACACCCGTACCTGGTACCATTCCGAATGCTCCTATATTTTCTCATACGACGAATTCGTATCAACTTTCAAAGCCAATTTCTACCCCCTCGCTCGAGAAGAGAGTATTTGGCGGGACATTTTACGATGAACGCAGGCCCCCGATGAGATTGTTCGCGACTACATAATTTGCATGCATGGACTCTTCGCAAACCTTCACCCTCCCCTTCCCCTTAATAGATAGTTGAATATAGTGCATTCACAGATGTACCCCCAGCATGCCAAAGACATCAAACGTCGCACATTCACCACGTACGCTCAGCTACTCGCACATGCCCACGATGCCGAGTGACCGCTAGAAATGTCCTACGATACAGAGCCCCTTCCGCTGAAGAAAAGCGGGGTTGTAGCAGGGTGGAGCTATGCTCCACCCTGCATATGCTTACACTCCTCAGGTATCGAAAAGTGAGGGTCCCTCGCCCCATTACACGACTTCATCCCGTATCCCTGCACTGATGAATCTTTTTGTTCCTCGACCCCCTAGCCTCAATCCGCAAAACAAAAGTCCGATGGAACCTCAGAGAGCTCCCCAAAACGTATGAGTAAGAGTTGATTCGTGGCCTAGGCATGATCGTCGTAGGCATAGGAGAGCCCCCCGTACAGCCAAAAAGTATGGATCTAAATCCGAAAGAAAAACCCCGGAAAGTTGCCCCCACACGCCTCGTATACCCCCGGGACTGCCATTCCATTCCCCTCCCAATCAGATCCCGCAACGCCTGACTCCTCATCACCTAAACCCCCTTCAGAAAGACCCAAGATACCCAGAGACGGTCCAAGATACCCAAGAATACCCCAGAAGATAGCAAAAGTTCCCCGATATCTCAATACCCCCCTCAAAGTAAGTCACCTTCACCGTCAGGGAGACCCCGACACCGGACATTCTCAAAACCTCGACTAGTACTCCCCCTCCTCCCGAACAGACTCGACACATCGAAGTGATCCCTCAACCCCTCGAAATTCCACCCCTGATGCCTACCACTTCTCCGCCCGTCACAACGATCCCCCCACTGATGTCCCTACACATCCCTCACCCACCTGCCCTCGAGCACATCACCCCTCGAACCCCCTTGGACGACCCTGAGCACAGACGTGTTCGCAGACCCCCTGGATATCCTCAATCAGCCTATCCCGCGCAATTCCCCCCTACTCTCCAATGGGTGTATTTAAGTGCGAGGGCAGCCACCGAGCAAGCGAATGCCGAATTCCGACTAGTCGCTGTTACTCCTGCGGCCAGTGGGGAGTAGATGTCGCATCTTGCCCTGACTGCAGTACTCTTAATAGATTAATCTAGATTAATCCCCCTCCATACACATTTCATTTCTTCTCTCCCTTATCCCTTCTAAGTTGATTGCACATGTTTCCTTTCTCCTTTCTTTTTTTTTTCTTTTTGATCAGTTTTGTATGATTTGATACGGAGCCTACGGATCTGTCACAAATATTGTTAATTATAATTTTCGTTTTGTTATTATCAAACCAATGGTATATAAGATATATGGGAGGATGTACGGATGTGCCCCGTACCCGAGGGACCAAAATAAAAATAACTCACTTGCATATAGAGCCTTCATTCCAGACTCACCTCTCCTGGAGCCGTTCGGAAAAAGATGAGTAACGATCAACATAGAGTATGAAAAGCCTATGTATTCTCTACCCCCCAGGAGAACTGTGACGAGGCCCAGAAATTAATATTATTGACCCATGCACTGAGCCCCCTAAATAATTGATTCCCGCCACCGTTGGTCACCTAATTCCCCAGTATTCCCTTCATCCCCCTACACCGCCACCCCCCCTTTTGGAAGCTGGGACGACATCACCCGAGCACCATCAGCATAGCCGGCCCATCCAGTTGCACAACAGGTAGCCGTACCCACCATCATAGCCCCTGGAATTGGATCACCCTCGACGACAGTTCACCACACAGCCCTGAAGTGCTCCCCTAGACCTTCGACCTGCAGAGATCCAAGAGTGACCCCGAATAATCCCGGAAATGGGCGAGGGAGACACGCGAATAGAGGAATAAAAGTGAATCTGAGAAGGAACTCACTCGCTAGTCAGCTGCCCCGAGTGTTGTTTCGCGCTGAATTAACGCATACCATCAAGTCAGTGAAAAGAGTAATTGCTGTTGAGAGAATCACTTGGAACATTCTCAGTCGCTTCCAGTCACGTGAAAAGAGGAATCCAGGAGTCGTCGAGGGGACTGAAGGCTCTGGAGTCCAGTGAAGGAATAATCCAGCAGAGAGTCGCCACAGACGTCCTGCATCACTAGTTTCTCCCACGTGGTCGTGAGTACTGGATGCCTCCAGCATCTTCCCATTGGTTTCACATTGTTGCCCATTATTTTCCCATTGTTTTCCCTTGGTTCCCCATTGTTCTCCAAACATTTACCCCCCAACGGTGAGCCTACACTTGCGTTTCATCAGCCCCCTTAGAGTCAAGTAAAACCATTATTAATGCCTTTTGCGTGTACAAAAGTCGCTTACCCATCCCCTAGATCTCGAGTAAAAGGCATTAGACCAATTACTAAGAAATCATGTATTATTATTGAGAATAGGAGATATAATCCTTTGGTTCAATTTATCCCTTAACCCTAGACTGATCACCATGCGAGGGAACTGCCGCAACACGTCGTTTTATTCACCTTGCCATCCACTGGTTGACCGGAAAAATTTGAGAAAAATTGAATTCGTCAATTGAAGTATCTGGAAAATTCTAGTATTTTTTTTTCAATATTGTATCCTTTAATTCTGGGAGAAAAAAAATTATTTCCAACAGATGAACAATTTTTTCCCGTGTCAAATGAAATTGCCTGTTGCGCGACGTTGCTGGGAACTCGCTAAACGCACCCGGGAAGCGTAGAGTGGATTCGGTAACGCTGGAGTCTAAATAACACGGCGGCACTCTCCCGCGAAGGTGACTAAAATCGCATTTTCCCGTCAGGTGACCAGACTAGGGTTAATTGTATTGCTTACTTAATCCCCTTAAGCCCCATTTCAGTAATTATATTAAATTGAATAAGCAGCGGTTACACCGCAAATGCTTGTTTCTTTTAAACTGAGAACGTAAATCCACCAAATTTTATCTAAAAAAAAAAGCAGAAAGGAATCTTTGAAATGAACTAAAAGTTTTTGAATTCTTTCCCTTTGGCTATGTCAAAAGTTCAAACCTCCATTGAAGTTTATTTTGAAAATATCTTCAAACCCAAAATACCTTTTCAGTAGTGTATACAATTTCCTCCAAACGTCTTGGGAATGTAATTTTAATTGAAAAGTCCAGCATCATCATTATGTTCAATTACTTTATTACTTGATATTTTCACCATTTTTCATATCAATTCCGTATTGTCATACTTGTTAATAACTTCAACTAACACCTTAACATTAACAACGAAGAATATCAAACTAGAGATCCAGATCGACTGGAAACTATTGAGCCCTCCATACTCCAGAGCATATGCATCAAGGAGCCACAGCCCCTGACTGCCAATCCAGATAATGAACAATATCATTAATCGTCTCACCCTCATCTTAATATATGGTAAACAAAGTGGTAGTAGAGACACATACCAGAAGAAGTACTGAGATGTGATAACCGAATTATAAGTCACCATCACCATAGCTTGCGTCAGCGTAGCAAATGGTAAATCTTTTTTGCGTGAGTATCGAAAAGACAATGCAATCAACAGAATCACTGGCGGTAAAATTGTCAGCCACTTATCGAATAACACTTGTTGTTCAATAGATAAATAATGCATATAAAAATATACAGAGAAATTATGTCGTGCATCTCTTCTGATTAAATGATAAATGAGACTCTCATGGAGAAATTCATATCCATAAAAGTAATAACTAACTAACGTACATAAACCCAATGATAGAATACATCCTGAAACGAGCTTAATCTGCCGAATATTGGGTAAAAAATGATTATCCGATATTCCCAGATACATCACCAAACTGAATGCAATCGGATACAGTCGAAAATGCACAGAAATACCGTGAATAATTCCCGAAAGAAATGGATTATCACTGATCAAATAGTTCAACGTCAACAACACTAGAAAAACAGCAACAGAGTCCGCATTGCCTCGTGTCGATATTACGATTATTAATGGACAGTAGAGCCAGACTAATGCGCAAATACCAGATGTTTTATCGTTGCATTGTCCTCTCATCAATATGTGCTTCATTAAAATGGCGATGATTATGTCGATTAGTGAAAACAGTATTTTTCCGAAGCTCGAATGGAGTAATATGTTGGGCGTCAAAATTAATGCTAATAGCGGAGTGTAACGATAAGTATGCCGCTCATATGGGGATTTACCACTCAATAAAAAACGCGAAGCATCTGTGTAAACTTTGTAATCAACGTCGGTGTAAGGGACGCTGAAATATTTGTCGTGCAAGTCAGCGTAGGCGACTAGAATTAATCGAAGGATTAATGCTAATGTGCAGTGACTTTTAAAGTTAAATCCCATGATTTAAGAACTAAATTAAATTTTTACTATAAATAATGAAAAATAAGTTTAACAAATTGATGATGAATTGATATCTTCAAGATCAATGTTTAATGGTCGTTTTCAGAATTTTGTTTCATTTCTGGCTGCCGCTTGTACCAGACAGTTCTTGAATTTTGTGAATTCAGACAAACAATCGTCTTTACTCAAATTTGATTTTGCTAAGACGCACTTCGCGTACTCTCGGGCAGGTACTCTACATTCTGCCAAGAGGAGTGGGTACTTTCGCAATCGCTCTTTGGCTCTGTTAACTGAATTCATATCAATGTTTTGTAAATTTGAGATATTTTACAGTAGTTTAATCTTCCTCATCACCAAATCTCGCTTTTCTTTCCTGACGTCTCATCTCCACCGCTTCCTCCAAAGTCATTGTAGGTGCAGTCATCCAACTTCCATATATGGGACCACTGAAGATTATGCCCATCGCTAGTAGTGTACCGATAACGTTTAAGGCACGGGGAAATCGGACGGCCCAAGAGTATTCCTTCAGTAAATGTGGGTCCTTTTTGGTCATGACTTCTTCGATGATTTTAACTGTAAGCATTTTGTATTGATTTAGTGTCTAGAGTTGGTGATGATGGTTGCAGTCTTTGAGTTGCGGAAATTCATATTAGTGTCTGTATTTGGGATTGAATGAATGATTTGGATCATGATCGTTTGAATGACTTGGAAATTGAGATAATGGAAAACAGCAAAGAGATAAAGAATATCAAGTCAGTCCAGAAGTTCCACGCAGATTATCTAACCAATAGTAAATTTAACCCCTCTATAAACTTTAATGATGACCAGCTTCGAAAGTATTTGCCCATAGTTTGATGAATTTTTTTTTAATTTTTCGGCCTTCGAATCCCTTTCCTCGGGTCCCATTCGGCACTCTATACCACCCTTTACATGCGGCTGTGGATCTTGCACTGTACCGCATTCGCACTCCTATAGAAGATAGGAGCAGCATATGAAATCTTCCCAAAAACAAAAATAATTTTTCACTAACAAACTGATTAAAAAATCGCACCAAGATCGTGAATTTTTATTTACTTTTTGTTATCATTTATTTTCATAGGTTCCATTTGTTCGTTGATTTTCCTTAGTTGTATGCAGAACCTCTATGTATTCAGTGTTTGGCACTTTTCGTGATTTCACTACTTTTTGTAATGATATTTCTTTGATCATATAATTCATTATTATATTCGAGAGTAACGCTCATCCTGAAAGAATGTTACGCTGATTTTTTTGGGTGATACACTCGCTCTTATAAACACATATTTTTCCTAAATAATGGGGAAACCTGAGGCATAGTGGAACGTTTGTCATAGTCGAAATCCCAACATCCTTGTTTATAAACAAGGATATCAAGCGAGAAATCAAGAATTAAAGATCATAACAAAAGTTCCACTTGACTCCATTTGGACAGTATTATAGTCACGGGTATTCAAGCATTGGTAAACGGCCGGTATAATTCACCAATCACTCTTGAATATCGGCGTGACGTCAGCCAACCCAACTTTCTATACTCATCCGAAGTCAGTTGCAGTGATACCAACTTTCCCACTACAATCTCCTCTTAGAGAGGTTAGAGGAATGGATCGATGAAAATCCCAACACCTGATTTATGAAAAAATTATTTTCTCAGTCAACTATTGATTATAAAATTTGAAACAATAACAATAGGAATTCGAATAATACATGAAACCATTTAGGCGGTCTAAAATGCCCTAGGATGGGATAAACTATGCAAAAAAAATGAGTAAAGATATTTGAGTAGTGTAGAGGGAAGTTGACTCGCGTATAGTATGGCAGTTGCGTACCCAAAGAGGAGGTGCGCGTACCCGTTCTTGGGGACGTGACGCAACTGCGTTCCTTGACCACAGGAACTCATACTGGTGTTGTGTAGAGAATAAGTTACAATTAGGGTCCCTAGACAGATCCCCATCTTCTATAGATTTTAATGGAAATTTCAATATGCAGGGTGTCCCAGGACCGATCGCTTTCCTGAAAGGGTATTCTGGGGAATAATTTTTGTGATCGAAAGTTCCTCTTCGACTTTTCGATTCGACCATTTTTCATTTTTGTCTGACTCTTTTTTTTTTACGGTTACTACTTATTCCAGGGCCGAATTTTTTTTTATTTAATGTTCATATTTTTACAAAACATTCCAAAAAAATTTGGTGTAGTGTATCGCCCCGTATCCACGACAACCCCCGCCAGACTACTAGCGCCCCCAATCAATTCCCAAAACACGTAATTGCAAAACCGAAAATTTTTTTTTTTTTCGTTAATTTTGAGATTTTTTTAATGGTTCCCATTGTGTCTGTTCCGATCCATTACCAACCTACCCACACATAAAAAACAACACCATCTTCCTTTGTACCGGAAACAAAGATGATTGAAAATAATAATTCCAATTTTCATTTTCTTTTTCGCTGTTGGATATGATTTTGGACGCGTGGGCGTGATAATGGGGAGTTTTTGAGTCGATGGGTGAGTGGACAGATGACAAGTGTAACATCTAACGTGGATAAAAAGAAAAAAAAATGGAAAAAAATGATAATTCAATTGTGAATTTCCTCTTCGATTTTGGAAATGGTTTTGGACGCGTGGGGATGATAATGGGGAGTTTCTGAGTCGATGGGTCGTGGACAGATGATAGGAATACCATTCAACATGGAAAAAAATCAATGAAAAAACAAAAAAAATGATCATTAGTTTTTACAATTTCCTCTTTCGATTTTGGAAATGATTTTGGACGCGTGGGGATGATAATGGGGAGTTTTTGAGTCGATGGGTGGGTCGACAGATGACAAGCGTAACATCTGACGTGGAAAAAGAAAAAAAAAATGAAAAAAAATAATAATTCAATTTTGAATTTCCTCTTTCGATTTTGGAAATGATTTTGGACGCGTGGGGATGAAAACGAGGAGTTTTTGATTCGATGGGTGGGTCGACAGATGACAAGCGTAACATCTTACACGAAAAAAGAGAAAAAAAAATGGAAAAAAAAATAATTCAATTTTGAATTTCCTCTTTCGATTTTAGAAATGATTTTGGACGCATGGGGATGATAATGGGGAGTTTTTGAGTCGATGGGTGGGTGGACGAAAAGCGTAACATCCGACATGGGAGGAACCAGAGCAAAGCTAATTGATTGTCCTACGATTTATTTTTGGTGGCCCCCTGGGTAGGAAAATTTCCGTGTTTGGAAGATCTTCCGAATATCTTTGGAAGAATCTTCGGAAGATTAACTCGAAGATCTTTTTGGTGACCCAAAAAGATTCTGCGGGAGACAGAATCTTCCAAAGAGATTGTTGGAAGATCCTCAGGAGACGACTTTTTTTTCTATGAAATCTTCCGGAGAAAATGTTGGAAGATCTTCGGAAGACAACTTCTTTTCCCGAAAATCTTCCAGAAACAGTGTTGGAGGATCTTCGGAAAAAAACTTTTTTTCCATGAAATCTTCCAGAGACAATGTTGGAAAATCTTCGGAAGACAACTTTTTTTGTCTGCAGAAAATTTTTCAGCGAATTTTTTCCCGTCAAAAGTTGACGAGTCGATGTAGGGAGATGTTCAGGAAGGCAACGAGTCGAACATGGAGGGGGTGGAATCCTTCTTGCGTGGAGAGCATTCGCAGATTGAATCATTGTGGCAATGGATTGGGAAACATTTTATCCCCTACGTTTGAACCTCGTATCCCCCTCTTGCCACTTTATTATTGATCCTCATCCATATCCATATCCTGGCAATTATATTAAATTTCCCACTTTCGTAATTCTCCAACTCCAAAACTCCCCAACTACGAAACTTCTTCACATTGAAGCTCTCCAGCTTCCAGACCCTCTCATTTAAACATGTCCCAACTTCAGTGTCCCAATTTCAAAATTATCCCAACTTCAAAATTGGCTAACTCCAAAAATGTTCAACTTGAAAAATTTTCAACTCCAAGGTTGACCCACTTTGAAATTTTTCAACTTCCAAATTGGTCACTTGAAGAATTTTCTATTTCAAAGTTGACCCACTGCGAAATTCTCCCAACTTCAAAATTGACCCACTTCGAAATTCCCTCAGCTTGAAAATTGGCCCACTTCCAAATTCGTCAATTTCGAAATGCTTTTACTTCAATGTTGGCCCACTTCAATATTGAAGTGGGTCAACTTTTCACCTTCAAAGCTGACCCACTCAAAAATTCTACAACTTTAAAGTTGACCCATTCCAAAATTCTACAACTTCAAAGTTGATTCATTTCAAAAAATTTCAAACTTCAAAGTTGACTCACTTTGAAAAATTTTAATATGAAAAATTTTCAACTTCAAGGTTGACCCACTTAGGAATTTTACTGCTTCAAAGGTAACTCACTCAAATTTTTTCCAAATTCAAAGTTGACTTCAAACTTTTCCAACTTTAAAGTTGACCCACTTCAAAATTCTTCAACTTTGAAGTTGATTCACTCCAAAATTTTACTGATTCAGGATTGACCAACTTCAGAATGATTCAACTTGAACGTCGATTGACTTCAAAACTGACCCACTTCAGAATGACTCAACTTTAAAGCTGACCCACTTTGAAATGCCACAATTTCAAACTTGACCCACTTCAAAATGCTTCAACTTCAAACTTGACCTACATCAAAACTCCAACTTTTAAAGTTGACCCACTTTAAAATTGACCAACTCCCAAATTTTCCATGCTCCGAAATTTTGCCTGCTTTGAAATTTTTCAACTTGAAAATTGACCCATTCCAAGATTGATCCACTTCAAAATTTCACAGCTCCTAAATCAACTTCAAGATTTTACAATTTCAACATTTTACAATTTCAATATTTTACAACTCCAAGATTTTACAATTTCAAAATTGACTCACTTCAAAATTTTACAACTTTGAAATTGACCCACTTCCAAAATTTTCCAACTCTTGAGGCTGGATCATTCGTTCGTTTACAACCGAGTTGTATGTGATTCATAAGCGCACTATGGGTCGCATACGATTCGCTTGCGAGCGGATGACCGATTCAGCCATATCTGTGAGGTCCATGAGAATTAAAATGTGCTATATTTGAGACTCCTGAGAGTTTA